GTAAGGAACAGCTTCCCCTGGAAGGGGGTACAGTGAGAGGTTGGCAGGTGATGGTATGGGATGCTCTGCCCCCAGTGCCAAGGAAATGAAGCCAGTGAGATGCTAGCACATCCTAATTCCTTCTTCCCTCACAGTACTGCAAAAGCTATGCTGGAAACAGAATTTGGGTTAAATGAAATCAGCAAAGATTTATAGTTTGATATTAAATGAGCTTTAAAGGAACTCCACCACAGCCAGTATCAAGCAGTACTATGAGTCACCCAGCCACAAAGACCAACAATCTATCGGTGTTGTAGAAAATGTTTGCAACGAAGCTTCACTCAAAACACAAATGTAAAAAAAAAAAAAAAAGCCCTTTAAAAGGGTTTCTTCCTGACACATTTGCACATTGCTGCATGATGGCTGCCCTCAATATGTGGAATTAACACCTTCTCTTTCTGGGGAAGATTAATTTTAAAAGCAAAGGATGTGATTAGGTGAGGACGTCCTGGTGACTACTCAGTCACCAGAGTGGCAGTGCACACTGCATTTGCCACTGTCTCTAAATCAGCACCACCCCAAAGCATAAAACAGCCTCATGATCATAAGAAAAATGCAATCCAAACCTGCTGTGACCCAAAATGCAACAGTTTTGCCTCAGTCTATGAGACAGCATGTAATAAACAAGCAAACCTGGAAGGAATACTAAGCTTTGCATAAACACTGTTGCGATTAAAATAGGGCTGAAGTACTTGCAAAAACTGCAGATTTATTAAGAACGGTCAAAAATGGAGAAAACTGTGAGGAGCTGCAAAATTTATGTATCAAGAGGAAACAAAGAGCAACATATATCAGAAGAAACAAGTATTTTTCACTAAGGTCAAATGCAAGATAATGCATTACAGAAAAAATAATAGAAAGTATAATTTTTTCCTTCCAAATGAAGTTTGTTCCAAAATTTGTTCTAAAGCAACTGTAGAAGTAGACATACCTGAAGACAGATCTTTAAAAATATTACGCTCCTACGTCAGATGAAGGAATTTCCAAAATAAGGGAACCAGACTGCAGCTTTAGCAATGCAGATGCAATCTGGAAGACGTAGATCCTGAACAACCTCAAGCACCAAACTTAGTGTGCAGAATCTGAAAATAGGGCATTGGGAGAAAAAGTTACCACACCAACTTTTGGAGTAACCTGTGTAAGAACTTACAGCCAAAATCATCTTTGGGAGTTTTACACCTTTACTACACAAAGGAAATTCCCCTTTTGAACAGGGCCACTCCTTTTCCTCAACATCCTAACTGTATTTTCCTTAAGGAACATTCCCGAGACTCTGGCAGTCACACCCTCAAGGCCAGGCTGTCCCCACCGGGACCGGCGTCCCCTCACGGCGGGCGGCTCCCATGGGCCCGGTTTGATTCCCTGCATATCCCACTTAGCCAAGCCAGGTTTCCTCGGCAGAGCCTTCTTCGGGTTCCATGAAGCCATTTACTGACGGCACAGTAAGGCAGAAACAGCCCCAGCTGAGACGGGACCCCAAAAAGGAGCCCCTGCGCTCTCATCCCTCACAGGCCAAAGGCGGGAAAGGCTCGCTCCCTACCCCTGCATTTATCCCTGCACACACACACGGGAGGAGAAGAACATGCTGCATACCTTCCGAGATAGGTAAAGCACAAATCTCATCCCATTGGCGCAGATGATTTGTGGTGGATTTARTAAAGGTTTTGTAGAGCTCGAACTTCAGGGAAAACAAATAATCTGAGGTAGAAATTTGCCAAATATATGCCATCATGCTGCTGTAGAGAGATCAAAAATCAAGAAACGTGTTGACAGACAGCTCCCCCTTAAATCCGTGCATACACATTTGTGCTTCTGAACAACTGGACAAATGACTGAGTTACACCTCTACCTAAAAAAAAAAAAATTAATAATTCTGGATGGTCAAAAGCCAAGCAGTCACCATGAAAATTCAGTGAACTGAGGAGTTCTTTAGAGCGGAGTATATGCTTATATACTACATTTAGCATAGGCTGTAACATTAAAGATTATTATTTATATCTTTACTATCTTTAATGGTCTCTTATTTGCACTACAGAAACCAAAAAAAAGAATCTTAAGAGAAGTGAAATTATACATGAGCTAATTATTACAGGTAAAATGTTTTCCTTGCTCATTTACAATACCTCAAATATGGTTATGATAAAATACCATGAGAAACTGAACCACTCTGGGGAAAAGATGGAAGGAGGCAGTTGTAGAAAAAGATTTCTATCCTACGGAAGATGTCCCTTTTTTGCCTGCATATTTGAGAGACTCATGTATTCTTTTATTTCCTCTGCCTCACTTGTCTACAAGATGACAAGTGATGCCCAACTACTTTGGCATATCATATTGCATTGTGTCATTCCACCACCTGCCAATGCCAGTGGCCCATCAAGCCTGAAAAATCAAAAGCAGCAATTTGTTAGAAACTGGGGGGGAAAAAAACCCACCACATTTTAAGCCAAAAATAGAAACATTAATTTTRTATTAGTAAATAGACTGTGAAATATTGATCCACAAAAGTAAGTGAGCATGAGTAATGTATCAATCTCAAAAGCAGATTCGAGGATTTAAAAGCATTTCAGTATTTGTGTATTGKTAGCTGTGTGGAAGACAGCATCTATCTCAGATCAAACATGATTCTGCAAAACGCTGCTGCTCTTTATACTTTCCTTTAAGGCAGCAGGTCTTGTGATGAAAGAGAAGTAGAGAAACTACATGTTCTAATAAAAGTATTATTATGAAACTATGACCAAACATGCAGTTGTCTTTGCTGGCACCAATAAAAAACAATGCTATTAAAAAAAAAATAAAAAAATCACTGCTTGGATCCTCATTTGTTCTTAAAGATTAGTGCTGAATCAAAGAGAAGTACATTTGTTACAGAAGCACAGCAAAATCCTTTTTTATACAGTCCACATTTATCAACAAAATTGTTTCTCAGGAAAAGAGAAATCACTGTTTGCTTTGCGCTGCAGTGAGTCTTAATGGAGAAAATACAGACAGGGAAARCAGCAAGTTTACCACTACTAGCCAAATTATAGCAATTATTTTGAAAGGTGCTATCCTTTGTGTAATTGTTTTGTTCCATGTAATGCTGCACAAATACTCTCCACAAGAGTGTTTGCTTAAGATCTAATCCCACGCTATCCCAGAGCACAACTTGAGATCCTCACTCAGGCATATTTTCCCTTCAAAATCCTCCATACTGTGGCCTCTCAATTTTCTCGACARCTGCCACGTGCAAATTGTTTAGTGATCATCCTTTGTGCTCAGCTGAGCTGACATAAAGCCTGCTCAGAGGCTCCTAGTCCATCTTCAGAGAACAGGGACTCTGGCAAAGTAGTTTACAATGTTACCAGAGTCCCAGAACGGAAACAGATTTTTGCGTCCCACCAGGGAGATGGGGAAAGAAATCACAAAAGCCATGGCACCCTCAAATCACAGCAGAGGTACTTGAGAAAGCAAGCATAAAATTACAGGAGAAAAAGAGAAGTACAAGGTAACAAAGGCAGATGCTGTGAAAAGGGTGTGACATTGAAAGGAAAGATTCTCAAAGCACAGGACGGAGCARAGCTAAGGGTAAAAGGCAGAACTGACAGTTAAGCACAGTGTGAAATGCAGGATCCCATGGAAATCGGGCACCATAAAAMAAGGCCAGAAGCCCTGTAGGAACTGGCTCCACTCCAGAAAGAGCAGGAACCAGGGCTCCTGCTCACTCAGACAATTTGCTGTGAAGCATTCTGCCTGGGAACATCTGTCTGGAACACGATGGAAACCTGCACTGTGCAAGTTGCATACAAAAATAAAATGGAAAGTGAGACATAATTAGGGTCAACCTGTACTACACAGGGTCGTTAGGGTAAAAGTGTGCCATGTTTTTTCCATACTGAAAGCAGATCAGGCTTTCCAATGGCAGCCAAATGACTTCTACAGCACCCACATCCACAAAGTGCGTGCTCAGTACACACTTTGGTGAAYATTGGTGAATAACCAAGTCCCTTTATGGCGGCCAAAGACGGGCATCCATGGAGTTCAMTGGAATCGCTATTCTCATACCACACACCTTAGATCACCCCACAATCATGATCTGTTAGGAGTTTGATACTTTATTTTTAACAAATACGTCAACAAAAAGTAGTCCCGAGACGCTGATGACATGGTTTTCATMTGACAATTATATAACTAAGTTCAAATGAGGCACGCAGATATGTTTCCTATTTATGTTCTGTACCAGAGCAAAAATCATTCTGAAATACCTTCAGCACTCTGTTCACTGTAGGGTACACATAAATTATTTTAAGGGAATAATACATCTCCAAGGACATTTTAATAGATTAAATGTCAGGAATGAAATACTGCATTTCAACTTAGCTAGGACCTTAAAGAATGAGTATAAAGACAATTATTGAGAGGTCTGAAGAACACGATTGATCTCTTTGCAATTGAAACTCTGAGGCATTTCATGCAGTCAAACAGGATTTCTATTCTAAGTTTTCATTACATAAAACTAGGAAGTATGTAAAGATGTAACGCTGACCATATTTTACAGTTTATGAGAGAACCACAGTGTCTGATTTAAAAGGAAGTTGTGTTCTAAGACTGCATTTTAAGCACAGAATTTTATGCTCAATTACTGCGAAATAAATTACAATTATGATCTACAATTCTTTTAGCAGTAGCTGGATGGTCCTATGCAAATCCAGAAACTAAATATCACAAGGAAATAAATGGGCCAAATTCCAACAGGMGCTCCATAAAGCAGTAAAGTTATACATTTGGAAGGTGCTTTGCTGCAGGCAAATGGCTGCCAGCATTCCAAATCAACCTGTAAGGCAACACACTGCAGAGGTACCTGTGCTCAATACAGAAAATATTCTCCCACAGACACACTCCTTAGTTACAATGGGATTCTGATCACAATAATGACACTCCTACTCAAACCAACCACCCCCCCCCCCCCCCCCGCAAAAACCGTAATTAATTTATATTTATTTTTCTGTAAGAAAGTCAAGTCACTAATTGCAAAACATACACAAAGTTCTCATACCACACAGAGTATGTGTAAGTTGCTTTTATAAAATCTGTGGCAGTTTTTAGAGTTAGCAGTGCTGCTTAAATAAAGCATCCAAGACTGAAAGAAACAATAAATGGGAAGAATATGGTACCTATGAGAAGCAATATGTTCCATTTCATGGATRTTACCTGAACATCCATCTGGGACTGTTGTCATCAACATGTGCACTCTCAGAAAACAAAACATACAGCAATTTTCAAATAAAATGCAGTTTTATGAATAGATTGCCTAATATCATGAACACAGGCAGAACTTCTTTTTAAAAGCATTTTAGCTCAAAACAATCACTGCCCTTTTGGATCTTACAACTTTAAAAGATGACAGCTTTCTAGTTACTGCATCGGAGGAGTTTCACAAGGTCTTCTTGGGATTTGTGACATTGTGAGGGATGGCCCAGCGCCACAGCTACAGAACACCAATAACAGGTAAGGGTCACCCACATGATCCTCTGCCCTTTTGCTTGAGCTGACAATTCACAGCRAACTGCCCACTGCTTCTAAAACTCGAGGCAAGTGGGTCATTCCTTCCAACTGGYTATCCCCAGGGAGAAGCAGGAGCTGGGGGAGGAAACTCAGCAGCCCAGAGGCCCCGTGCTGGCTGCTGGATCAATGGCCAGTGTCAGCAGGCTCCCAGTTAATGATGCTGGAGCCAGCACCAGCCTTGCTCCCGGCCACACTTACCACAGGTACCCACACACAGGATACAGGGGCTGGAAAAGGCAAATAATTGCCTCGTTTTGCAGTATGCAGGATTTTTTGTTAAAGGTGTACACGTTGCATTTTATGTTCACAGGATCAGTCCTTAGATTTGAACAAAGAAAATACTCTCACATTCACAACGGGGCAGCGTGACAGCCAAGGGCAGCCAACAGCAAGAAAATCTGTGTCACGACAGATCCTCTCACAAAGAAGAATGCTGTTTTGTAAGTCTTGTTTATGTATGTGTAAATGTATATAAATTCCACATGTATGGAACAATTTTTATTACTGTTTTAAGGCGAGAAGTGGCAAACAGACAAAAGCCACCAAAAAATAACAACCACCACACCAAAAAACSCCACAGGAAAATACAACCACATAACAGGGGAACCCTTGTCCCATTTCTGTTATACAAGGATGGAGCAGTTGAAGTCATCTCTGTATCCATGTAAGCTCTGGAGTGGAACAACTAAACAAGATGGAAACAAGATGACTTTACAAGGTTCTTCAAATTACTGATTTACTATTATTGGATGTTCCAAGCAAAGAACCTACAGAAAGTCTCCCACTCAAGGCAAGATTGTTCAGCTGTATTTCAGCCCCAAACATGCAGTACAGACCTCTYAGCTAAAGGAGAAAGGAGCCTTTTCTCTTAATTTAGCCTAGTGCATCCTGCAGCTGGARGCCCCGTATTTCCAAAGTCTGTCTCACAGGCCATAACATAAAAACACTCTCCACAATAACGACATTTTAGGATCCCTTTCTTTCCTGCCAACTCAGTAAAGGTTTTTAAGGTAGTCCTCAGAAAGTTGTCTTATGGCTGTGTAGCAGTGCTTCTGCCTTCCAGCCAAAGGCAGCAGCATTTTAACTGCTCACACCAGACTCAAGCAAGACACCCTCCTTTGGAGGCTGAAATCAGTGCAACTACACTTCCTACACCTCTGAAAAATGCTTTTCCAGTGGGGAAAAGTACAGCAGTACATTTACTYCCAACACATCACAGTATGAAAAAATCACAATCTAAAACAATGACTTGTTCCAGAATAAGGAACAAAAATTATTACTGATAAAAATGCCTACTGAATCCTGAAATATGAAATAACCTTCTCAAATATTCTCCCACAAGAGTAAAAGCTCTGAATCATTTGCCACTCCTTTTCTTTTCTTACTTTTGAATTGAACATAGGCCTTGTAAAAGCTCCAGTACAACAATGACACACATCACCCTCCTATCACACTGATAACTGTTAAGTATTTCTGTAACATCAAGAAATTATTCTTGATTTACAGAAACAATTTCCTCAAAGAATTTGGCAAATTTGAAATTGAATCTATTTGCCATATTCTTTACTTACTCCCAATATGTTTGTGATCGGAAATTTCAATTTTTGAGTTCTCATTTAATACAGGGCAAAATTTACCAAAACTACTGTTTTGAGTAGTAAACTACTGTTTACTACTCTCCAGGCAAGCTTTCACCAACACTTGAGACTTTAAAACTTGAGTTCCCATAATCACCATGTTGGCTTCCCACCTTCCCTGCTTCACCAAGKTGGGCAGAACTGTGATCTGCCAGGAAACACAGAGATTTGAAAGGCAATAACTGAGAAAATCCAGGCCATAAACACCACAGAACTTTTGTATCAAGTTTTACTGCCAAAAGTTTTATTTTACACTCGAATTGCAAATGAATACAGTGTACACATCATACAGGATGCAGAAGTACTACGCGAATTATTTGTCAGCAACAAGTTTTCAAAAAATAAAACATCCTAAGTTTTCTCTTTGTTCCAACACTTGACTTACCATTTTTGCAATATAAAGAACATTTGAGGAGTGGCAGAACAAAGAATGGCCATAACTTGTAACCGAGGAGTTTCAGACCACATGTAAGGCAAACAAGGTTTACAATGAAGCACTGGAGCAGGCTGCCCACAAGAAGCTGCACAATCACCATCCCCTGAGGTTTTCTAGATCTTGCTGAAGGCCTAAGTCCTGCTCTGAATTCAGCACTGAATCTGCTCTCAGCAGGAAGCCAGACTAGAGACCTCTCTCAAGGTCCTTTCCACTCTGAATCACACAATTTGATTCAAGCACAATTAGCAGCCAAACTCAGACAAATCAGTGAATGCCTTCTGTTTTCCCCTCTCCCAACAAAATAACTCATCTTAATGATCATCTTTACAACAGTCTAGCATGACTGAAATCAAAGAAACAAGCAGCAAATTAAGTGTACAGAAGAATACCAATACCACAWTAAAAGGCCTTTGCGTGATTTAAAATTCTTTTTGTAACAGCAAACACAGATTTTTTTTAATTGCTCTTTACACATTTGCAATTTTCAGCTGTATAAGAATACCAAATAAATTCCTAGTAATTTTTAACTAGAATATATTCTGTCTACACTGAGTAAGTTTCTATTGACCCTCAATACACTGGCAGTGCCATATTCCCTGCAAGTGTCCCAGGGAAGCCAAAGAAGGGCTGGGAGGTGAAACGGAAGTAAGGAACCCCTTAACATCTTTATTCTATCCTGGGAACCATTTCTCTTCCTGTTTGAGACCTCTTTCTATTGCTAGAATAGAAAGAGGCTTAAATGAAAAGCAAGTGGAACCAGCAGAAAGGACTCAATGTACCTRTAATTTCTTATTTTTCACTCCATGTGACAGAAAATTGCAATTAGACAAAAGATGTAAGGCTTATACCCATCACTAAGGCAGCTGTAGAAGAACTAATGTTATGTGATACAAACAGGCAACAAGGAATAAATATAAAACCTGACAATTTCTAGAATTTTTTTTTGTGCCAGCAARCAACTGATTCTCTAAAACAAAGTAATTACTCTAGTGCAAATAAAAATTCAATGAATGTGTGTATACCCACACCAAATCTGACATTCAGCTCTACACTCCCCACTTTCAAAACACCAAACTTCTGGGTTTTACAGAGAATTTTGTTTCTCAGTCTCAACGTAAGTGAGAATAACTATGAGCAGTCAAAGGCCAGACCATTCAACCAACAGTGGATCTCTGCAAGCATACAGCCTCCCACCTCTGAAAGCCTGCTAGGAGTGTGCAGTCAGACTGTGCACCTAAACAGAAAGCCATGCACCCACTAGAGGCAGGCTTGGTTTGGTTTCATTTTAGGGCAGAATGGATAGAGAAGCAGCAGAGCACTGAGCTCAGCCCTAGACCTAGAGGGTCTAGGTGGCACGGGAACAAAGGGGAGCGTTGTGCCCAACACTGGGTCCAGCCAGGGAAGCTCTCAGGCAGTTCTTATTTCAAGSAATAGTTAAAAGGACTAAAATCAAMTTGCTAAAACAAGAAAACAACTGTTAACTGTATGCGCAGGAATGAGACAAGACGAAGTTACACACAGTCARTACAAAGCAATTAAGGGAAAAATCYCTATCTGAAAAGACACAAAACTAAAGGTCCGAATTCAAGGACTTTCAAAGTAYTTGGAGAAAACAGAATCTATTCCACCTCTACAGTACTGAAATAAGACCAGATTTGTGGGATTCAGATCTCTTTAAACACAAAACAAATAGTAATTTGGTGCAGTGCCTTCTTCAGCWCACAAAACAGTGCAAGTCCAATGACAGTTTAGTCCTGTCAATTTTGATACTTTGAAGGGAGGAAAAAAGTCAAAATGACACAGAGGTTAAATGAGTGAAGATAAAAGATAAGAAAGAACACAGATASTGAAGAGGGCTGGATTCTGATACATCTAACTCTGAGACTTGATACACAGGCATGGGAGAAGTGTCAGAGATAGAAAGGTTGTGGCCTTGGAAAACAGGCAAGTAAAATTGTCAGGGATGTTAAAAAATAGTCTAGAGGCAGTCAGAGATGAAAATTAGATCTTTGAATCTGAACAGGTCTGAGCCTGTTCTATCTGGAGATAGAACCATGGGAGAACCAGACTARGGGGGAGAAGCACTGGATTTTTGGGGCATTCAAATAAAGTGTAACACAAAAAATACAAAAACAAACTGAAGAGAGGGTGTTCGGGCACATGAAATCAGATGAGAGGGAGAAAAAAAGACAAAGCATTAAAAAACAGACATCGGATGATGGATACCACCCCCTTGAAGACAGATGAAAGAGAAATTTGGTTGCTAGTGAAGGAAAATGTAATTCAAGGAAACGAGAGGCATAAAAGATACAGAAATAAAAGGGGCAAACTTTTGAGTTAAGAGGCAGAAAAGCTTTGCTCAGAAACAGATCCTGAGAATAAAAACAATTTTGAAAAGGATCTAGTCATGCAAAAAAATCAGGACTGAAGATTTTGTATCAAGAATGAATAGAGAACTAAAATGAACAGCAGATCTGCAAGTAAGCTCAACAAGAAGAAATAGGTGAAATAAAAGTGGTTAAAAAGTCCATTTGGGAAGAGATTAAAGCAGGTAAGGCAAAGCTRAGTCCAAAGCTGTATTGTGCTGACACATTCTTCAGATATTCAGAAAGGCTGGAATGGAAATTAAGAAATTACAAGAGAAAATGTCTGGAGGGAGGAATGGAGACAGGGCAATGTGAGAAGCAGCCAAAGAAACCATGTACAGAGAGGCAGATACAGATAAAAATAAAGACCAGTGAGTCARAAGAAGTGAGACCAATGAAGGAAGGAGGCAGCTGAGAAGATGAAGGAGTCAAAAAGGTTAATAGACTGGAGATCCCAAAAGGAGTGAGTGACAGGGTAGAGGAGAGAGAAAGACAGATAAGCTGAAAGAGAGCAGGTAGTGATCAGAGAAAGGGAATTTAGAAATGAGAGATAATAAAGTGAGCAGTATTTAGTAAAGACAAGGTCATGGGAATGATTGAAGCAGTGAAAAAATCTGTCTAAAACCAGAAATCACAGCACTGGGCTGGAGAAACAGCATTAAGAACAATGGAGTTAAGTACTGACTGGGAGAAAAGAACTGGGCTTGCCCATGGGGAGGGACAGATTATGAAAAGACAGAAACGGGTTGAGTTTAGCAAAGTCACAAAGGAAGATGCAAACWAATGACCACTAGGAAAACTAGACACAGGGGACTTCATGTCAGGGAGAAGGCAGAGCTGGCAACAGGACTGATGAAGCAGAGACAGGAGTCATAGAACTTTAGGAGTGAATATGAATGGAAAACACTTTTTAAAAAGCATCAGAGAAGGGAACTAAGGTTCAGAGAAGGAAATAAAGTTTGAAAAACAACCCTAAACAACTATATTTGAGTCATGTTCAGAAACACTCCACTGAGCAGGGTCAGCACCTCTTTTTCYCTCCTTTGCAGGAAGATCTGGTTCCTCACCCAGACTAAACCAGAGATCAGAAATTCAAAAGACCAACACTGCCACTGGCTAGATAATGTGGGGATAGGGCTGGGTTGGGAAAATTTTGACTGTTGGAGCAGATAGAGACTATTAAAGAATATTAAAARTTATGGAAAAACAGTGATTTGACCTCTGCCATCCAGCACCTTTATGTCCAGACTGAACTCTTCACAAACCAAGACCTGAAGRCCTTTGTTGACTCCGGCTCCCATCACCTCCAGTTCCCACCGGCTCACACACCCAATGCAGCATTCACCAGCATTCCAATTCAGCTGTTCAGATTCTCACCACACTGTACAACAGCAAAGAGAGATTAAGCAGACAGATTGCTGAAAACAAACATCACTGCGATTTTGGGTCCCACTCAGAGCTATCTGAGAACCACTGGCATAAAAGTTCTCCATTTCCAAGACTCTGTCAAGAATTTCACTCTAAGGCTTTCTTAATCATGAGCATGAATAAAACACCAGCCTTCTCAGACACTTCTAATACTGCATTTCATCTTCTGGTACACTGGCATGTTTTTAAAGTTTCTGCTCATTACAAAAAGACAACACACTTCTACTACCTGCTCATACAATTGGGAGCTGGATCATTAGGAGTGCAACAGAAGAGGGGAAAAAACCCACATTATTCCCTGCTAGCAAACGTGGCATGCAGAGAGTAAAAGAAGTGAGCTGAACTCGTCATCTCTATCTACCCTATTGATTACTGTTTATTCATGTGTGCAGATGTGGTTCACTCAAAATTACTGAAATTACATAAAAACCAGCCTACATATAAACAAGAGCTCACAGGACTAGGGCAATAATGGGAGCTCTCTGTTATTTTTATGCTTTATCACGTTTTTTCATATGGTCTGAAAGTAATTTTAAATTCAGTTTCAGATTTTAGATAAAAACAYACAACCTACTGGATGTGGTATTTTTAGACAATTTTAAACAAATAATACAAACATTAATTTTTTTTAATGTAGTGTCTTTTGTTACAGTCACTTCTCACCTAGAATGAACTACTGGAAGCAGCAAGATGTCCACAAGATAGGCAGTAGCATTTACTGTAACATATATATATATATATATCTGAAAAGCCAAGTTTAAAAAATCCCATAGAAACACTGTAATTTTTACATTATATTTCATATCTATATGTTTTATTTCTATTGTACTATTGCACAGCAGGGGAGCTTTCGAGACAACGGAGATTTTATGCAATATCATTCAAAGGACAAAGTTCACTCCTGACACAAGTTAACACTGGAGCATTACTGAAATAAAAGGAGCAGCTGGTCAGACATTTTGGGTAGAAATGTAACATGTTCTCTTTAAAGAAAATAAACACGTAATGCTGTAGCTGAAAATAAATAGTGCCAAATATCATCAACATATGAAGATAGAATGGCGGTTTATAAAAGAAAATATTTGCTAAGCACATAGCATACACTGCAGTGTTGTAACAGACTTAGCATTTTCATATGTTACCAGGTACTTTAGGTATAGATTCTACAATCCCCACTTATGTAAGCAGTTTTAATAACCCACATTTTGTAATTATAGAGTTTGGTACCAGAGTCATCTGCACCATTCATTTCATAGATTATAATGCAGGAACAACTATTCCTTTTCCTCAGCACAAGATTTAATCATAAATACTAAAAAAAAAATCCACATGGCTAAAAAAAATTAAATGCTGAAGTATGCACATTTGCTAACTCTTAACTCATGATTCTTTTACTCCACGTACCCTTCCAGGGGAGAAGTATCTATTAGCAGTTTCTTTCAGGAGAAGTTCCATAYTTGATGCATAATATTAGATACCAATAGCCTGTGTTGGATTTGGGTTGTTTCTGGTTATTTTTTAAACAGTCTAGCACATCTCAGAACAAAAAATTATTTGAGTACTTATGCATTTTAGGAGCTAATTCTGGCAGTAAAGCAAATACTGTGCTGCCTTTTTCAATACAAAGCATTTCATTCTATGATACATGAAACATTGTTATAGAACATAACCATCATGTTTTAAATTACACAACCATGTAATAAATGAAACAAATCTAGCAGTTGCTAAACACAAACCAAAGTTTCTCAAATACTTCTGTCCAACAAATTGTTCCACTGAAGCCCTATAAGATTAAATGCACACAGAACTGAGAAGGAAAACTACAGTTTCATAGAAGTTGTCCTACAAAATCTGGAAGAAAACATATTAAAAATGTATTAAGCTGATGATCTGGCACATACCATTCAAAAACTCCCATTTTTTTTGCCAAAGACAATTTCCATAGTATTTGTAGTTTTAAAAAATAACAAAACCAAAAACAACCCTGACCTCCCTTGAACACAAATTCCACAAATGGATTTTTATTCTTTGAGCATTACATCAAATAAAAATTACAGCTGCACAGAGAAACAAACAAGCAAAAAAAATCTGAGCATGCAGGGATGTGACTGCATCTAGCACCTCTATGTGTATGTACATACTGCTGCTTTTATTCAAACTAACTTTTTACCCACATTAAAAAAAATATTTAACTGACCATAACAGCTCCTTAGCTGTTATCACTGATAATAATTACGTTTTAACAGTTCTGTAAAAAAGCTCAGTCTTGAAACTCAAATTTCATTTCATTCTCCATTTTTACTACATTTAAAAAACAAGACAAACTCCTTCCTTAACTATGGAAATATTATACAAGCCTACCCCAAAAGGCACTAAGGTCTAACAAAAATATTCAGCATTTCAACTAATGAAGTATCTGTAAGACAGTTTGCATATATARTTATTTCCCAAATTAAGGCGTGGCAACTTTCTCTTAAACCTAAAAGCTATAATTTACTTTTGCTAAATATAAAACTAAGTCTCAGGATAYAGTATACAAAAATCATATTTTTAGGTAGAATACATTTTGTGTTATACTAGACTATTATATCTTTGCCAAAAGATTTCAGTATTTAGAAAAAAATACTAAAATTTAAATATATGTAAGGCCACTCAAATTATTTTAAACAAAAAAATCTACAAACAGTGACATAYACACAAACAGTTGGGAAGTTGTAGCTTAGACATCACATCTTTTAATCAGACCTGYTCAAATGACAGCCTCAAAAGAACCTTATTTGCTACAAGAAGCATCTGCATGGTTTTAAGACTGAACTATGCAGACTCCCATTGCCCCAGGGCAGTGCTGCACAAGTCTATTAAAACGACCCCATCGCTGAATCAACACCTTAAATTTTCCCAGAAAACCTCCAACAAATGTTTCATGTGTATTATGAGAGAATAACAAAACAAAAAGGGATGTTACAAAAATTTCAGCATAATTTTTTCTGAAACTATTTTTTCATTGCATTTGGCAAGCAGAGAGCTAATTCTATCACCTGTCTACTTTTACAGCAAGAACTACAAACGGTGATTCAATATAAAGCACAATAAGCTCCTGTAATAATTATGTTCCTCTTAGAACAAAGATTAAAATAAAATTAACGGTGCTGATTCATACTTTCCATAAATTACTAAAAAGGTGAGCGATTCAGACATTTTGCTTCTTGATAATAAGCCCAATATCTGTATCTTGTGCAAAAGTGCAACTGTGTTTTAGAACTGAGGCCCAACTGAATACAATTTTGTTCTTCCAGAAAGTATACTTGAACCCACTAACATGGAAACAGTGGCTCACGGTATCTTAAAATGACCCTTTAGCATTTAAATCGGTTGTACAACTGCGAGTTAGTAAAAAATACAAAACCCAGAAATAAACAGAAAACAACAAAGCTTGTATATAAATTGGTTTACAATTCAAAGCACAACAGTAAGCTTCAAATAATTACATTGGTGTAASAGGCGGAGAGGTGGGCTGATTTATTTAAAGCACTTGGTTGTTCCTGCTCCTTTCCTCGGGCTCTGCTGGCTGTTTAGCTGCTGGCAGTGTGTGCGTGCATACGTTTCGCTACATCGTACACGTAGGTGATGTCTGGGCGCTTCTCCGGATCCGGGTTGATGCACATATTAACTAATTGTCGCAGCTACGAGAGGGAGAGAACATGACAGGAGTGTTGGCCTTCTTACAAGCAGGATTTGTGCATTATCACATTCAAATTAATAGAACTGGCAAAAATTAGCCACACAGCCGTTCAAGCACACAGGCAGCCCTCCCTCTCTGCTCACACGCAGCTTTATGCAAACATGTACACAATGCTCCCATGATTTCTACATTTTGCACTGCTGTCCAGAAAAACTAATGAACAAATTTAAGTTCTAATCCTTTTAACTTCAGACATGCATTTAGTCCAATCCCACATAATTTACAGGAAATTCCTGTGTTTCTGGAGGGCTGTGCCTGCAAAGCCCAGAAGGCTGAAAGGAGCACAGAGCGATGGTAAACGAGGGCTGCTGGCTCATTCAGTCCCGACATARGAGTTAGCCAGCAATAAATGGCATTTCTGCCTGACAGGTCCCAACAAACAAAAGGCAGTGGTGCTCCATCTAACACACAGTTAACCCCCAGAACCCCCTGCTGCCAGGAGCTACCAATMCACACACATTCACACAGCAACTGAACAAATTAAACCCACTGAGGGCTATCTGTTATAAGGACTCCACCCTTGAGGACATTTCTGAACTCAAAACTGGAAGCTGAGAAAATCTTTTGGGAAAGTACCACATTATATTGGCCCTGTTACTCCACTTGTCCACTGCTGAAGACATGATACTGGAATAAATAACCTTTGGTCTATACCCCAGTATTTGTTCCTTAGGATTGGATTGCTTATTGTGTTCTCAGCATAAGCAACCYCAAAGAGCTTCCACACCACCTGGATACTTTTCACTGCCTTCATAAACTGTCAGGATAGTTGCAGGTTTTTCTCCCTTCACTGATATGCCTAAGGACTTCTGACATGAGAGCTTAATTTATTGTATGGATAACCTTCTGATAGGGCATTTTAAATTGTGTGCAYCTCCTAAGCATGTTTCAGCATGGGATAGATCTCTTTCATATTAACTTATTAAAATGTTTACAATGCTTTGCAAAAACAACCAACTTGGAACATCTTCATTTATGCTTTTAAGCAGCTTTGCCAAATCCTCCTGGACCTCCTCAATGGACTGGGGACAGGTGGGGAGGGAGTGGGAGAACAYTCCAAGAAACACATTATGATCCAGTCATCTATGGCAATATATCATATTTGGTTTGGCGTCCCATCCAGTACCATCAGGTTTGATTATTGAAAAAATATCTCTAATTATTGCAACTAACACAGAGAGACCTCATCACCCTCATTATTCAAAAGCAACATAGGCTGACTCTCCAGAACTGCCATCGGAGAGTTTCCTTCCTGCTTTCTATAAAAAGAACAAGARGGATTTTAAATTATAATTATACTCCTTTTCTTTTCAGAAGACGAATTTAAAGGCATGGGAATAGGATTTTTGGAAGTTAAGGAAGGAGCACCACATACCACTATATAAAGCTTTGTCCATTAGCCCTTGCAGATAARCTGTACATAAAGCACAGGGTTTTTGTATTCAACAGTATAAAAGCTATGCCATTAGACATCCCATTCTTTAGCAAGAAAAGCTCAATATTTAAAAATGAGATGATTCTGAAGATTACTGGAGAAGAAACATATTAAATCAAAATAATCAGTAATAGATTTGCTATTTGAATCTTAAATACATTAAGTATATTCTAACTAAGGGAGTTATAAAATCATATTGCTTCTGGCAGGCAATAAATAAAATACAATGCCAGTGAAAAAGAAAAAACTATTAGCCCGTAATAACTCTCAAACATTTGAAGAACAGAATGCAGGAAATCATTAGCTCCTGTAAGAAAAGGCAATTGGCAGCATGTAATACAAACATTCAAGCAAAACAATCTCCCGCAGAAGAAGCAGGTGGGACGCAGGGTGAGCAGGAGGCACAGCATAAGCAGAGATGAGCAGCTTGCCATGCAACACCTCAGACAGCCTGCATGGAAAACGGAAAGACTGAGGAACATCCAACACCATCAAGCCTGAAATCAGAGTCAAATAAGCAAACATTTTGTGAGGAGACTACAGGTGTGATTTATCTGTAAAATATATCTAATCCTGAATGTATACATTCATCTTTCTCTGTGAAGACTTCCATYTGTTCAACAGAACAGCATGCAATGGAAAGTCTTCATAAAGGTCCTTGAGGGACTGAAACCTTTAAAGCCAGCATCAGAGGGGATGCTGAGTAGCCTTTCTCCTGTTTATCAGTAACTTGACTGTTTATACAACAGCAGAAATAGATCTTCAAAAAATTTACCTGTGAAGCACTTAAAAAGCCTTGTCACAGACTTCTTTAAATGGCGCTCACTGCAATTACTGCAATGTGTCTGTGCCACTCCTCCCTTGGCAGGTGTAGAATCTCACTGCTAARGCAGGAATGCTGTCCCACTCTCTCTGCCTGGGACACTACACCATGATAGTGCAGATTCCTGAGTAATTTCAAAATCCTTGAGCCCTTCTGAGCCTTGTAACTGAACAGCAAACTCTTGGAAGAAGGTGAATTAATTTGCTATCCAGGACAAGAAGTTACACGGGAGCACAGTCTTTCAGGACCGAAACTGGAACTACACTGGATGCTAATACTTGCTTATAGCACTAATCCTTTACTCCTACAGGAATATCCATTTCAATAAACCTGAAATCCATCTGTCAGCCCCTCTAGTACTAATAAAATTTCCAGTGTATCAGAAAAGCTCAACAGTGTCATGGGAAGAGGCACTGGGATTTTCAAATCAGACTGTCATTAGGGATGGGAGTGATTTTTTTACTAGCTGGCACAGACTGRCCAAGAGGCAGAGCAGCCTTATGACTGAGCCAGAGGGATCTCTTGTTGCATCCCCAAGCTGSAAACTTCTTTGTCTGCTTATTGTTCTTAACCTCCTCAGTGCACTTAGCACAGTGACTGTCTTTAGCCTGGAGCTTAGCCTGACACGGGAGCAGTGGGACACACTTTCTTTAACTTTAGCAGGTTTTTCAGCTATGAAATAAATAATTATCAGTCAGGAGGAGGGGGGAAAGACAGAAATATGACAGGCAAGTATGGTGCGTTGTTAGCCAGCTGAAAAAGAGAACTTTTCATATAGGGAATTTTGGATTAAAAAAACACCCACAAAACCATTCTTCCTCTTAATAGATGACCTTCTTGAAGCCTTTTCTGMGTGCCTTTCTCAAGACCTGCTGGCAAATAGCTCTACCATTGTGGACCTGCTGGCTCCTTCTGCTTTCACATCTGGGTAGGAGGTTGGCAGTGGACTTTAGAAGAACCACACCTCAATCAAAGGGAAGATTTTAAAACTTGACCATGAAAGCAATGTGATACTAATATTAGCTGACAAGATTTTAAGAGTATTGATTGGAGGTGGCAAGGGAGCCCCAGCTTTGAATTCCCTAAAGCAGAACAGCTTTCAGTAAATGCTGAGTGCTCACTCTGAATACCAGATATTTTTAAGGGATAATTAAAAAATTCAGATATTCAAAGTTATCAAGAATTTGAAAATCTTGGCTTGTGTCTATTGCTGAAGCAACAGTTTGTGAAAATGCATCTTAGACTATTAGAATTTCTCATGAAAGGTTTTTAAAAACATTACCCATCTCTCCATCTMAAGGTGCATCTTTCTGTCACATTGCTCTCTGATGACACAGATGTAACACATTACTAACAGGTTACTCTTACAGAGGGTTCAAAACTTTGCAAAAATGCCATATCTTAAAGCTCACTAAAATCTACTTACAAAAAGTTTCTTGAAAGAGCACTTGTATTTCTTAAYGAATATATTTATATTGCTATATTACAGGATACAGATATCAACAGTCAGTGAAGCTTTTATTTCAGAAAATTCTTTTTTATAAAAAAATGAAGTGGATTTTACTGTTCAATGATCCCTGATCTTTCCTGTTAACTGAGTGTCCTTCTGACCTGGTTAAAGGTTTGACAKCTGTATTTCCAGTACAGGTGAAACGTTTAGGACAATATCCTAATATGGCAGGTAACACTTGTTTTGTTTCTCTTTTTTTACAGTTCATGCCAGGACAGTATTTTTTCATTCAAGTTAAAAATGGTCCATTTTGGTGCAATAGGCAGTAAATGTGGAAAATAYGTATGTTTTCCACGTACCTTAGTGAAGACATGAGTCCTCATAGCAGAACATAAAAAATGTTCCCATTACAGTTTCCGTAAGTGATTGCTTCTTTTAAGTAACTGTTTTCTTACCTACCTTAATACCTATAATAGCTCTGATTCTCTCATTATCTTTTAAAATAACATATATATTTTGCAAATAACTGACTTATCTAAGGTGCAGAAGTACATGTCTGCTTAGAAATAAACAGAACGTAACATGTAGCGCTTTGCATGTGCTTGCAAAACAAAAAAACCTATAGAGATGTAAGGAAAAGCTGGAATCGCACTCCCCAACCAAACTCCAAGACCTTCTATCTGGGCCAGACTTTGATATTTGCCCCTTGGCTGGGAATCCACATCTCCAACTTCACACTTAGCTGCAGYGAAGTAGCCCTGCAGGCAGGCCAACTTCAACGAACCACTAGTGGTATCATCATTAAAATCCTGCTGAAGGTCACCATGGAAACCGCCTGCTGAGGCTCCGCTGCTGCATTCGGCATCTCCTAATCAGCTACCATGTGAAATGCAAATTCAGACAGTCTGAAAATTAGTCAAGAAGAATAGAGGATGAGGATGCAGATATGTGAAATATTCATGCGCTTCATGGAAAAAGGAAGACAGCATGAATGACACAACAAAGAACGGCCCCTGACATTCTCGCTATCATTTTGCATTATTGTTCACACCCTACTGTATTTCTGGGCCTCCAGTTCTGAAGTTGGTTATATGAACTGCCATATTTAGAGTCTACAATAAATAATAATTAAAAATGGCCAAGGTAAAATGACTAATAGGCAAAGCCACAAAGAGGTGCAGTGTATAAATTACACAATAGATCATTATTTCATCCTTTGTAATGTCAACGAATTATCTTTTAAGTCCAGTTTGTTTCATGAAAGGGAAAAAATTGTCACGATAAATCCAAAACAAAACACTGAGCAGTAATCTTTTATTAATAGTCCAATCACTGTCTTTGAATGCAAGAAAATTTAAGGTTCCGAATTATAACCCCTATTCTACAAATGAAATTGTATAATGCTTTATGTTTATTAAAAGTATTTCAGTGCTTGTGTTTTCAAACTAATCTTTAATTCATGTAGTCTGAATTCAATTAGAATTGGTTACTAATACCTGCTCTTTGGTTTACAGCTTCTATCAGTTTGCCCTGTTCTTTTCAAAGTGGGAAAGTATTTCAGAACTGGCATCTCAGAACATTAACAAGCAAGCATTTATAGTTTTTCATTCTGTTACACTAAGAAAAATATTTATTTTGTTTCTTTTCATTTTAGAACTTATGAAAGCAAGTACTCCCCCTTAAATGCACTAATGACAGTAAGAACTCTCAGCTTAAAACAAGCACTGCTGCGATATGCATGTGTATATTGTTCAAATTCAATTATGTCTGCCTATATTTCTCTGAAATTTAGTCTTGTCAARAACCACTCCTCCTTGCAACAGAACTGCTGTTCAATTGTACTGAACAGTACATCCCAGTTTTACAATGCAGACAAATGGGAACTGAACAATTCATTTTTACTACCGAGTTACATTAGATCTATTTTAATGCGGGCCCCTAGAGGAACAAGGCCAGTGCACTAATTTACTGTGCAACATAAACTCGTATAGTTGTGCTTTTAGAAAAGCATACTATAGATGTAAGGCTCTACCCCATCCTGGCATGTGGAACATATCATTGTGCATTCTGGGAACGCCTTTTGTCATACTTGCAAGGAAACCCAATAAAATTAAGAATCTAACAGTGTGACGTTTCCATCATTAATACCCTGAAATATAAATCATGAGAGACTTGTTTTGACAGGAACATTTGAGTGAGTTCAACAAGCAAACACTTATAGGCATAATCTGCAAATAACATAAAATCACATAAGTTCATTTACTTCCCTGGAAGCGTGCCAGCTTACATAAACTGGGGATCCAGCCCATGAAAAGGAAAATTACTTACTTCCTCTGAATAGTGATCTGAAGGGAGAGGTGGGTAGTCACACTGTTCTATCTTCTTGCACAGAGAGTACAAGTTCATTTTATCACCATAAAAGGGACTCTGCAGTGCAGCCATCTGTTTAAAGAAAATGTACAGTTTTCTTCTGCGCTTTTAAGTAAACCAATTTTGTCATAAAATCCGTAATACTAACAAATCAAAAGTGAYTCTTAATGACTCTCAATACTCTGCTTAGTGGGAGCGTTGCAGTGCTGAAAACAGAAGTTCCAAAACTATTCCTGTAACCACTGTATGTACTTATTCTATGCCATACAATCATAGCTGCCACAATCCTTATGTAGCAATATCTGAACTGCACACCATTAGGGTTTTATTAACAGACTGTGAGGGAAAAGTCAGTAGTTCACAATATTTCTGAGTGTGGAGGGTCCCTGCACCACAAGGGAGACCAAAAAAATCCCAAACCGTACCTCTTTCCTCTACAGACCTTTAGGAAGAAAACACATAACTTACATGAAAACCTTATCTAACCTGAAGCAATGCATTGTGTAGATAATGCCAGATAATAGCAGCACATTTTGTAACCTTCCACAGCCATGACATTGGYGTCAATAAAGCTGGGTTTTTGAAAGCAAGAAAGAGCTACCATCTATACTTCYAAAATCTCAGACCCAAAAGCTTCATAATTCAGTACTTTATTCCAAAATACTTAAAAAAAATTGCTAAACTTCATCAGAAGTGCAGAACTGGCACCTACAGCTGTAATTTATATTTACAATACAAAACCAAGAACATCTGTTGCAGAGCATTTACATAATTGATCAGCTTAAAATCAGCATTAATATACCTACCCTTTATTTCCAGACAGTACTACAACTTGATATTAAGATGGAAACAAATGCTATGGCTASCTGGATAGGAAATTTAAAAATTCATTTAAAACCCCTCCATTCTGTTCAAAGCCTATGAAATCTTCTAACTGCAGCAGCATGAATGCTGCTTGGAGTGCAGAGCTGCCCCAAAGTCAGTCACCCTTTTCTACATGTGCTAATAAGTTTGATTTTGGAAGGACAATGTGTACATTCCCCAGACAGGCAGAGTGTGTGTGAAACACGCTAGTCCATGCTGTGCTACTCAGTGAGCTTCAGCAGGGACAGGACAAGCTGAAAATGGCTCTCATCTGTCTTGTGGTCTTCCAGATAGCAGTTTAACTCTTTCATGTCTAAGCACCAATATCACTGGGGAAAATATATGAAGAAAATTACCAAAATTCCCTTATATTTATTTAATATCTGATTAAATTGCTCTCAAATAGTTCAGTAGTTTTTCATATTACCTTCAAGTAAGAATAAAAAAATTTAAAGCTCCCAAAACAAATATCAGGCTACAGTTCYATCCTACATTCCTCCCAATCTGTATTACTAAAATAATGATAATTTTTCTATTTGCATGACATTGTCTCTTACCTTAAAAAGAATGTTAAAAATGCAAGCTAAAAACCAAAAAAGGAAAGAAGGAAAAAAAAAAAGAAAAATCAACTGCAGGCTCTGTACATGCAAAAATTCTAAATAAATGCACAGATACTCATTTTCGAACTCTAGGTGTTCATTAAAAAGTACTTTTGTTTGAATGCTGCCGAGTGTTAAAAAAATTCTGAATGTCCCCTAAGGAGTTAAAACAGGAATACTATATTTTCATGCATCTCCTGCTTTGACAGATGAAAAATGTCAACTGTCCTGTTTTTATTTTCAAGCTTTTGCACTATTCATCTGGTTCATTAGTGCATCTCGCTGCTGCCCCTGACAGCTGCTCGCCCTCTCCTCCCAGCAGCTGAATTTTTCAGGCTAATTTGATCCTCCACACTGAGACGATCGCTAGAATGATTGACTTGCTCCCTGACCTCCAGGGTCTGACTTTGCTGATTAGTATTCTGGGGGTGTCTGAGGGACGAAAGCCCACTGTCTGTCTTCAGGGCTGGTGGCAGCTCGCTCTCTCTCTTTTTTTTTCCCTTTCTTTTTTTTTTTTTTTTTTTTTTTTTTCTGTAAGCCACCAACCTACAACCCTGTAAGGATGCAATTGCTACGCTGAACAATAAAAGGAAATGTGTAAGACCTACTTTTCCATGTAAAGGTCCATGTAGCAAAAGCACAGCACCTTGATTTTAATTAGTAAAGTCTACTTTGTTGCATATCAATTAAAACTCCACTGGTAGGGTTTTTGAGGTTTCAGAAATACCTGGGACTCTAAAAAAATTCACTTTAAAGCATACTTCTGCAAAATCTTACTGGCCACACTGTTAGCACTGGATAACAGATTGTAATATGCATTAGAAATAATATTTTTAAAAAACAACATACAGTATAGCAAGTTAGTTTAAACTTAAATTAAAACATAACTGAAGAGCTTAGCAGCAATAAAGAATTTACTGAGATATGATAAACTTGCCACAGCTTTTTTCCAATTAAGCTGGAGACAATCCAGAGCACATATGAACACACATCACCATGAAATCAACAAAATAAAACATGCTAAAATGCAGGCAAGAGAAAATCACAGAGAGACACCCAGCACAAAAGTGCACAGATAAAAAAATACCATTCATTAGTCCACATAAGTCTTAAGTAACTTAAGAACCTTAAGTAACCACTTTGAGATATTTTAAAACAACATAGGAACAGTAAGAAAAATGCTGAGCATGTATTTTGAATTTGCTATGCCTGAAATTTCAAAATTACAGATCAACGCTCAAGATAAACTTCCAAAACAAAACAAGAAAACCCACCACAAACAGCTGTTATATTGCAGAATCAACTAACTAAAGGCTCTTCTAAAAGGCATTCAAAGCTRTAGTTGAAAACACTGCCACACACTTAGCTATACAATATATAACAACAAGRGTCCTAATAATTATGTCATTCCTGCAATAAGGGAATCAAACTCAAGCCCATATCAACTTAAAAAGCATCCTGGTAAAAATTCTAAAATAAATCAAAGGAGAACGGTATTTCAAGATGCTGAGTTAGTCAATGGAATTGATGTATTTAGCTATTCTGGAATTATCTACCACATCAAACAAAACACCTATATTCACATAGGTGTTTAATACACAGTACCAGCATTAAGGCAGGAAGGTTAAAAAAAAAAACTTTAGCAAAGTACTACTTATTTATATCCAGCATTTTAATTTCATATAACATAAAAGAGGAATTAACCTTAAACTGTGGGGATTTTATGTAAAAGTAATTCAAAGGTTTTATTTGTTTGTTTCCAGATTTAGAAAAATCCTCAAGTAAACCAACAAGGGGTAAAAAGTAGTAATACTAAAAAATGCTCATCTATTTTTATGCCACCATTGGGCTTGCACAAATGTGTAAAGCAAAGAACTGAAATTCAGGGCAGCTGCCATGGTCAGTATTGAGGAATCCCAATACAGGATTAAGTTTTACATCAGGATTTAAACTTCTAAATACTTGTTATCAGCTGGACTTCATTCCTTGAATGATCCCCAAGATTTAGAAACAACAGCTACACACAGACCTGTAAACTGCAGACTTGCAGTATAGCTGTTTATTCCTTTAATATTCAAAGCAACATGTCAGTGATAGAAGGCAAACAAATATTATTGGAGATGATTCACCTAGTAGTAACATCCAACCTTAACAGGCTGACAGTGTCTTCTACAAAATCCTAAAATAAACAAGGAGGTGCTGATACTGCTGAGCATGTGTTAAATGAGCTCTGCCGGCCCACTGAGGCAGGTGTCTTGTAGGTAAACAAAAAGTGACCTCAGTATTTTTGTTTCTACCTGGAACATGACTGGGAAGGCTTCACTGCCATTGCTGATGGAAYTAATGTGTTGAAGGGTGCTGGAAAAAAATAAGTATTTATTCTTTTGATCGAGGAATGATACACAAAGAACTTGGAAGACGTATTTGTCTTAGTAGCCTACCTGCTCTTCACATGTTCATTCACCTCAATTTGTCCTACATCTTTATTTTCTCAGAATATAGTATTATTTYAAGTTGAGTCACCTACCAATATTGACTATACCAATACAGAAACTAAACAATTGCAGTTTAAATCATTCTAAGAGAAGAASCAGAAATATTACATGTGTGTGCAGAAGTCTTTATCCTGATAGTTAATTCAAGCTAATAGCTTGAATACAGTAACCATTTTTATYATTTTACTTAGGTTTAAAGTATTTATAAAAATAAGAAATTTGTGTTAAAATAACTATATTGCAGTTTTTGAAAGCATTACTTACATATTCAAGTTAGTCCTACTACTTATCAATGCATTTATTAACAAAATCACATCATTAGCATAGGCCATGAGAACACCTACAACAATTTTACATGTGCTTGCTATTAATCATGTATAATCCTTTAGTCATGCCCAATCTTCAACAAATTGCTRTAAAATCTTTGTAGCAAGCCCAGTTAAAAGCAAGTTTCAAGTGAAACACAAAGAAAAGTATTTCATATGCTGCAGTTACATAAGGGTGAGGGGGGCAGGGGAAGGGGAAGTACAAGAGCACTATTAAGCTCACTGTGTATATCACTATTACCTCATACAGCAGACAGCCTAGAGACCAGATGTCAGACTTGAAGTTGTAACCATTTTCATGTATTCTCTCTGGAGACATATAATAAGGTGTACCAACTGCAAAAAACACACAAATATTTTGGAATTAAAATTTCTGTTGTTACGCAGTAGTAAAAATTACCATTTTCCTCATTGAAAAGTATTTTTCATCTTCTGTTTCTCATTTTGGTATGCATGAAACTTCAACTCAGAACACCTCAGTTTGACAGAAATACATGAATTAGGTATCTATTTCATCCAATGCAGCTTTCTTTTTATTAYTCATTCCTAATTACCAGAACTATGCAGTAGTTACGTAGAATACATCCAAATTTTGCTTTTAAAGAATCTCATATGCAATTTCTCCTGAAGACACACACACACATCCCTGCTACTTTTCCAAACTGTAATCACTGTGGCTAAAAACAGCTAGAAATTCTCTTCCATGTGAGTTGTCCTTCCTTTGAGAACACATAAATCTGAAAAAGCAGCTTTTGAAACTAATGAACACAGCTACTTTGAATAGCTGAAATTAAAACTGAGATTCAGGACCTTCAGAGATGAAGGCAGGAAAACCTGTGAGCACAGCAGAAGCTGAGGTTCCTATGGGCACCGAAGCCATCAACTACAGGACTAAATTCCATGAGGGCTTTTTAGCTCCCAAACCTGTACCTGTCCCAGTTTAATTCTGCCTCAGAGTTATRGGCTCTAGAAATGTCTGCTCTGGAAAAGCAGTATTTATTAGGACTCTCCCAGAATAAATTTATACTGGAACATCTCTCCCCTTGATTTTAATAAACTCTACCCATCTGTGTCACCAGTTATYTGGAAGAGAGAAATACTGAGAGATGTTTCAGCTCTATAAAAAATGTCACTAAAAAGAAGTATCTGAGTGATGGGTTCATTTATGACAGAGCAATAATAAAAAGAAGTGGAAAATAAAGGTAATTACGATTTCGGTGCTTTGTTTCTGAATTTTCTCCTTGTATCCCACAAAATGCCTAACATCAAAAAAAGTCAGATCTATATAGATCTTTACTTCAATTTTGTTTGTGAATAGTTTCTTAAGCACAGAATCCTGATGAAAACCARCTGATTTTTGTCAACTCAAGCTGATTTTATTCTGAAACCAAACATCTTGTAAGACTACCAGAGATTAAAATCAGCAATTGCTGGTTTTTTTGTTTTGTTTTTTTTACTTTGCAGCATGAACCTCACACATTATCGTAACACAAGGAACTGGTATCACTTCTGCTCTTCTGAATAGATGAGGCTCATTCAGAACAGATCTCCGTCTGAATAATTGTATTATCCTYAGTGTTTTATTTCCCTCTTGAATTTTTTTAACACCTCAAGGACCTGTGAGCTTGGACAACACAGAATAATTTCAGCTGCATTTTGCATCCATTAATTAAAGCACTGGTTTAAGTATATTCTGATGCTTTGTTGGCAGAATTCAGCTAACAACAAAAAGTTAAATAGTAATGTGGTGTGGCTGGCTAGAGCAGCAGTGCCTCTGCTGCTCTGAGATATCACACAAGTGGCTGGCAGTGAGTAATGTGCCAGAAAGAGGCTTCACAGAATCCACAGGGGGCAGCTGCAAACACTGAGGTTTGAAGGTTCATAGTCTACCAAAAGCAAAGGTAATTTTAACCAGCAGCTCTGGGAAGCCTGCTGCTACATTAGGGGTCTGATATGACTGTGAAAGATTGATGATAGTGAAAAGRAAGAACAAATGTTACCATTTTACAGCATTTAGCCTAGTGTAACACCTCTACTGCAATACAGCCTGAAGCCCCCAATGACCAACTAGTGAAAGGAATTGAAATTAGTTASGTTATTCATGGAATCACACAAACAACCTGAAGATTCAGATATCATTACTACTTGTAAACTGTTTTTTAAAAGAACTTGACACTAAGGATTCATTAGACTGATATTCAGAACTACTGAAAGCATTGCAATGATCCTTTTAAGATRGGGAGCAATCTCGGGACATTGCTGTTCTGTTGGCAGGCAGCTATCAGTGTGATTATATGTTACTTTTCCTTCCTAGATCTTTTTTTTTTTCTGTTAAAAAAAAGCATCCCAGCACTACAACTTCTTTACTTCCTTTTCCCATCTGAAGACACCGAAAAACTGCTAAATCACTGAGGTACCAACATTTTTACAAATGAAATCAGTAACTTYAGCATTTGGCTCACTGCATTTGCAGATCTCTGATAACCTGCAAGTCTGAACAGTGAACTCCTTGAAATGGTCTGGGTCAAGTTACAGTGCCTCCTCAGAATCTGCTGCTGCTCTGGAGCTCCCTCCCTTTAAACATGGTGTAGATTCAGAAACTGTTCATTCCTTATGCAAGCTTCCTGTTAGTGCCAGAGGGAATGGACATAATGGAAATGGTGGTTAATATGGAGCAGGAAGGTGGATTTGAAAGATCAGAGACAGAGAATCTATTACAAAGAAGGGAGTAATGATATTTACAGGCCATCTTAATACCTGGATAAACTGTAACTCACAATRCCTCTGAGTTAAAGTTAAGTGCTTCAAAATAGACAGTTAACACAACATGCAAATGCTTAACAGGATGAATGTGGATGCTGAAGACAGACAAACCACATCCCAAATAAGGAGACTGGAGGTCCTTTCCAACTCCTGTGATTCTATAATGTTTATGGTTTTGCACTTATTTAATATAGTTAGAGGAGATTTCTAAGCCAAGGTCTCATCTTCAGATACAGGACCTAAAACACTGCACCTATCCAAAGTAATTCTGCAAACTAGCTCACAATGTGCAAACAGTCCTTCTACAGAAGTCAATCTATAAATATCTTGGTTATTTTATAACAAAACAGTAATTTCCCTTCAGCTTTCAGTCTACTGTAAGAGATCTCATGTTTCTGTACATAAAATACAAGAGCTATTTTAATACAGCCTCTTTGATGACTGCAATGACTCAGCTGCAGATTTCCCTGCCAGCCCTCCTGCACATTGAGGGTGCAGGTTCTGAGAGTGGTTTGGTATCTAAGTGCAGTTTATTCTAYTCACAGAACAGTGCTGCAAACCACCACCTCAGCCCACCCTCTGCTGGGTTAGAGACTCTTATGTAAGAGGAGAGTATTTGCACACATTTTCACAAAGTTATTTTATTCTCCACAACCTGAGTGTGTTTATARTCAAACCCCTCACATAGCATAGTCTGTGCTGGGGACAGCAGTATAATGAAAATGACAGGMGTTGTCAAAACACAGAAGACCAGAATTCCACGCAGATGATTCTTTGCATCAAGCAGTTTAAGAAGATTGCAGATCTYTTCCACCACCCTGCAAGGTCTCCCCATGCTGGTGGCAGTGCCAGCCTGGACAGTACACTGGGCAGCCTTACAGCATAGTCACAGCAGAGAACTCAATGATTCTTTTTGTAACTGAAATATGAAAGCATGGACAATCTTTACACCCACTGAATGGCTAACAAAGAAAAATTGCACATATCCACGAGCTGGCCTTAGAATTGCCATTTCACCAAAGAGCATAAGGGCAGGCATTCAGCCAGCAAAACTGTAAGAAAACCYGAATACAGTTCTAAGGAAAGGAATAAGAAACTTTTGTTGGATCATAGTCTCCTAACACAGTCTTCTGAAAACAAATTTTKTCAAGTTTGTATCAAATTAACAATACCAAATGCCTCAACTTCCTTTGCTATTTTTTAAGAAAGGTTTTCTATTTCCAAAAAGATACAGGCATGACAATAGAAAATTCCACTTCTCGATAAAGCTGTATAGAAAGAGTTAAGAACATGAACAAACCCTGTCCAGTACAGTTTTTTCATTTGTTTCAAATGGACCATCAGCAAATATTCTAATTAAATCAGTATTATTCATAATTAGCAGTTAGAAGCTGTAGCTAATTAAAATTTTAGTACATTTCTTTATCTCTGAAAGCCTGAATCTAGTTTGCTACTAAAATTTTTATAAAGCCTGTAAACAAGTATAAATTGCTACACATATGTTTTTAATTTACTAGGTTTCATGCACCAAAGGTTTACAGAATCATAAAAAGATACAACTTTGAAAGAAATTTCAAGAAAATCAGCATCAGAAGCTGCAGACGAAATTAATTTTAAGAAGTGGTCTCTGCTACTGACATGATAAATCAGAAAGTCACTGTCTCCTCCGTAGCCTAAGTTAACAGCTGACACAAACCTTTTTTCTAGGCTGAATTCTGACATTAGGTCACAATTAAGAGGGAAATGGGAAAAGAGGAGATGGGGAAAAAGGAAAACAAAAAATAACTCCTCCTCCACTAAGACACAGTAACCAACATAAGAAACAAAGCTGCCATCCTCCCCTCCTTCCCCACTCTCGGGATAACTCTTGGATCTGTAAAAGATGAGCTTTAAAGTGCTTGGGGGTTTTACATTGTTTTTAGCCCTGTTTCAGTCTTCAGTTTTTTTAGCTCAGCCTTCACAACCATTCCCCTGCCACAAGCCAAAATAATCTAGGGTTGAGGCAGTCTGCTCCTCTTTAACTTCCTGACTTGTGCCTCGGAACACAAGTCTACCCTCCTGCCCTCACTGCTGACTCCTGCCTTATTCATCARCTCCTAATCCTCAGATTAGGATTTCCAGCTCCCTCTTCACACCCTCCTTCCATCTGCAGGCAGCAGCAGAACCCAACACAACCTCTCCACAGGGCTGCCAGAATGGCCCCTGTGTTACAAGAGCAGCGTGAACAGCAGCTGGGTAATACAGTGTGCCTGTGACAGTATCAGATCTGCAGTGTCACATCTCACTGCTCTCCAGCCAGGAACCCAAGCATTTCCAGCCTGGGCTCTCCACTTCTCACACACCACCTAAGGCCAGGCTGCATTCTGTGTCTGGTTTCCTATTAAGACCTCAGCAGTTACWCATGGTTTTGATTTTACCAGTCTCCATCAAACGTGGGAAAAAATGGAAGGCACAAAAGAGTGACCAAAGGTGTTTTGGGGGACAAGGAAGTAAGGCTAGTGTCAGAAATTTCCTGTCTAAAAGACTGTATTTTTGTTCATTWGCACAAGTTTCACTCACATCTCAAATGTGGTATAAACATGACAAACATGCAAACAGTGAACAAGCTGTGATTCAGTAACCACTAAACACAGTCACTTCAGTGAGAGAAAATTTTTCTGATCTAAAAAGCCCAACATAACTGAATTATGAACACTAATTTTTACCTTTCTCTTTACAGCARATGTCACTCTATTTAGAAGGTTCTTTCCTTCCACAGAGATCCTCTTACATTCTATCACTTATCCATTACCTACTTTTAAACTTAAAATATATGCCGAATATTTACTTTTTCTTCTTTAAAGGCTTCTTAATCATCCTAGTCTCTACATTCCACTCAAAAGATGCAAATGACCTGAAAATTTTGTTCGGATAAAAATAATACACWGCTAGTTTTGTGTGCTAGCAAAGAATAAGGCAAGCATTTCAGAAAGCTGAAAAACAAGAATACAAAAAAGCTAYCTGGGAATTGCTTTTGTTGTTTGTTTTGAGGGTTTTGTTTTCAAAATCTTTATGGTTCACAAAGTCTAATTCTGATCTGCCCTCAACTACCTTAGCTTGTATTGAGAAATTTCACCTTGAAACAGGGAAGCTCCTCTATGAGCCCTTTGAAACTGTGTGTCTCTGCTACCCATGCAGGCATACCGAACTACTAGATTCCTTCCAACWCTGATTAAAGTTCAAGTGAATTTCAAAATGCATCCATATTATCAYCCTGTATCTTCCTCACATTTTTAGGAAACACTGTTGCCTTAAAGACTTGTTCAGAGGCAGWAATGTACCTTAAATTATTGAAACAAAGGAGGGAAAATACCCAAGGTATGATGGAAGTAACACCTCAGTGTTACAGTTTTTCTGTATTTGTCCATGGTGCTGACCACTTTTTTAGTAAGAACACCTTAATGATCATGTTTTTATTATTACTTAAGAACAGCTTTAGCTGTTCATTACCCATTTCTTCCTCCTCCTCAGTGGGCACAGTATTTTCACCATGCAAAAGGTTCTACCTGTCCAATACCTGTACCTCAGAGAAAGCTTACCTAAAGAATGTGCAGCTGTTGTTTTGGAGCTGAAAAATCGACCAAGACCAAGGTCTCCAAGCTTTACTACTCCTGTAGCTGTAATGAACACATTTGCTGGCTTTATATCTGAAAGAAAAATAAATTTTAAAAATTTAAGAGACACAGTGAGGTTGCAAGGAAAGCTACTGTTCTATTAATAACAGTGCAAAAAAGGATTTTATTTACAGCTAATATTGGTAAAATTTGACAGTGCTTTTCAGAAAGAATGGGTCTGGAAAGTAGAACTTCAAATCCACTATTTTAATAGTACAAACACCACTTAAGCACACAAAACCAAGTGCCATGGAAAGTATTTTTAAAAAAAAACACGCAAACAAAATAAACCACACACCCCAAGTCCGGCAGCCTATAAAGTGGAGTTCATTACTACTTTATGTAAGCTACATAGAAGGATTTACATTAGAAGTAGAGAACCTCTTTTGTTATGTCTTAAGTAACAGCCCAAAAATATTTTCAAGAACTGCAAAACACTTTTCATCACTTTTTTTGATCAAATTACCCACARCGGCATAATGTTATTCATTTGAAATAGATAACTGATCCTCTATAAGAGCAGGCAGTAAAAAAAGAAGCAAGTTTACTCAGGAGAATTGTTATTTGAACTCGTCAACAGAATTGGGCTAATCAAGTAGAAACAAAGAAAAATAATGATGCATACCCCAGACAGTTATTTTTCACAAGTAATATCCATTTTAAGTTTTAATCCAATCCCTTAGGGACAACAGCAGAGACTTTTATTCTATGATTTCTAACAAGGTACCTACCTTGTTAGTCTTCTAAATAAAGTGACCTGTTATTTGTTTGGCAGGGGAGTTTAGCTCTTACTCTGCTACAGAGCAGCGTAGCCTGGCCCTAAACTTACAGAAATCACTTCACCTTGATAAGAGGGGGTTACAGTTTGCATAAGATACAGGTGCAGTAAAAGAAATGGCTAACAACCCTTCAAACACCAGCTTTTTCAGGTTTCCAGTAAAGAAGTCACAAAACCTTATAAGCTTYAGAGGAAGACAGAAGTAATTATGTTCTGCTGCTATCTGACCTAGTTTTCAGGAGTTTGGATAACCCTTTGTGTAATAATCCAACATGGATATATCTCAACTTAAAAATAGCTTTAATTGTCATTGCTTTTGGTGTGTAACCATGGAGTCACTAGATTWGCCATAGGTTTGCCAGAAGCTTTGAACTTAGTATTTCAGTTTAAGGAACTTATAGCTTTTTGTTTTGAGCTTAAATATACAGAAATTAACTAATTTAATTGCAAAAGCATTAAAGGAAGATACCTGCACCCTATGGAAAGAAACTGTATTTTATGTCCTTGTCTTTGTATCATTTGCACTTGCAGGAATCTGTACACATGCACAAAGGAAAAAAAAAAAAGGAGATTCACAAGGGAAAGGCATTTGCAGGGGCAAGGGTATCTAAGCTGACCCAAGGAAGGRTGCAGCATTTCCAGCTGCAAATGCCAGAGCTCAGCACAGATGAAGAGACCGTTTCTATCAGGCAGTCACCTGCACAAGCAGCCACCAGCCTAAGACAGGTATTTTCACCTGAACCCGAAGAGACAGCCCACACAGAGCCCACAATCCTTAACCAGGGGGATTTCAAAGAGGTAAATCAAATGGTAGACCTGAGAAGAAGCTATATTATGATCTGTTTACTTTGACTCAAGAGTTCTGAGGTAAAATGAAGGAAGTTCTGAGGTAAAATTAAGAGGAAACAGCAGCACTGAGGGTTAAAATGGACCAAGGAAATTTAGTACCTGCCAGGGATAGYTGGCAACTCCAAGGGCTGTTGGGACACAGCACTTGACCCAGAGATTGGAAATAGGGGAAAGGAGCAGAGAAGTGGAGAAAATGCTCACACCTGCACATAATCCAGTAGGTAAGRGTCTAGGAAAAGGACCTGTACATCACAAATAGGAAGGGCAGGAGCAGATACTCTTTAAGGCAACCAGGTGCAAGAGGTCAAAAGAAGGGCTGGACAGACCTGTGCAAGAAGGCAGGTAACAACACTTGGGCAATACAACAGGCAAATGCAGAAGAATAAGAACAGGGCAGAAAATAAAAGCCAGAAAAATGAAGTAGCAGTGGCAGGGTATCCATCACTTACAGAACTATYGCTTATTTTGAAAAACCTGCTATCAAACAAATGCCTAGCACAACAAATGCACAGACACAAACTTCTCTCAGTTTTCTACTACTTATAAACCCTTACAGAAACAAGCATTGTGTCAGCTGTCAAAATTGATTCCAACCAGCTTAATTCTCACATAGTCAAAGGTTTAGTAAGGACAAATCATCTTTGATCCTGTATTACCTCTATGCATAACACGACGAGAATGCATATGTTCCAAGGCACTGCAAAGCTGAACAAAGTACTTCCAAACTGTTCTTTCAGGAATCAACCTCTTCTGTTTCTTAAAATGCTTAAAAAAAAAAAAAGACGGACATTGAATATTAAAAATTAAAACTTGCATAAAATGACAGAAAAAAAGACAGAAAATCCTTAATTAAAAGAAGAAAAAAAGAAGCAAATACAAGCGGCTCACAACCTAATGAGAAAGGTTTAACAAAAGCTCTTGACACAGAAAGCTTTTCCCTTAAATATTAATATATGTATCATCAATGTATGATTTTAAGTCAGTCCACACAGRGAGCCACAAATAACATTAATGAAATAAAACTACTACCCCCAAAAAAGATCTATGCAGTATTTAACACTCCTCAGTGTAAGATTAATGTGGTCAGAGTAATCTAGTATAAAGTGGSCAGAATAAAAGCTTCTGTCACAGAACTTCCCAAGCTAAACACTTCCTTACACCGATTTCCATGCCCTCCTTTTCTAAATAGAAGAAAACAAAATCTAGCAATATCACACAGTYACAAACAAAGGTCATATAAGAAGAATTGGTCACATTAGTTTTAAAAACTTCCGCAATATATTTAAGGGGACTAAAGGAACTGTGATTTCTGAAAATTTCACAGTGAGCTAACTCCTGTTCAAATATTTTCCATCCTGTATAAAAAACTATTACTGATTACTGACAACAGTTGATTGGCCTTTTAAAGCTTACACAAAGCAATTATGATCTGCTACACACATCATCTTCAGTATTATATTCTGGAACTCAACAGCAGTACTCCAAACAAATATACTGAAAATCTGGAATTCATTCAATGCTAAAATGTCCAAGCCTAATCATTATAAATTTTGCAGCTTAAAAGTAAAAAGATTGAAAAACTGTTGCTTGCTTTGCCTCTGTTTTCAAAGAAATTGCATTGTGTCAGACTCTGAAGTTAAACACATGAAGAAAATAAGTAAACTACATTAAGACTAGCAAAATTTTAGAAGCAAAGTACTTAGATGTATTYTAATAGTGTGTACACACAGACTTCACACTCATGCATGCCTTAAGAAAGTTCACATAACACACATTTATTAATTTGCAAAAATAAAAATGTTTTCATACTATGTTAAAACATGCCACTGAGAAGTTGACAGCTGCATCTACACATTAGAGACACAGAAGAGTATGAGAAAGATGTTTTTAAAATACCTATAGCAAAATGCATCAGTCATACAAAGGATTTTAACATTCCACCAAAACGTTTTTAGTTATAGGGATTATTTCAAAATGTATTTTCATTTAAATGAGGCAAAGCATATAAACTGCATCTTTAAATATCATTTTCTTTCACTCTTGGACTGAATCCAAACAAACCCTGTGTATCTGTTCTCCCCATAGCTGGATTTGCATATCAGAGGATTGTTTGATGTCAACAGGAAGATGGAGAGCAGGTTTCTTTTCATTTAAAAACAAATACACAATACATCTAAGTATGGGTACATGAAAGCACAGTTCCTTGATTTAAAATGCATTCTGAAATTATCATAATTATAACTGGGTGCTTTATTTAAACATTCCAAATTATTATTTTTTTAAACTCAGATATAAGTACAAGCAGTGATGAAATGCCATTCACAAAATGTCTGAAAGGGGAAGATTTTCCGTTACAGATTSTCATTCTGATTTACCTACAGTACCTCAATGTACTTTCAAAGTATTTATGTACAAGTTTGCTTTTAACACTTCATTCACTTGCCAGCTCTAGCACTGTAGCTGACTGTACACCACAGATTTGGCTTCAGTTCTTACAGTGCAGGGATAAAACCTAAGAGCGTCAGACACAGTCTCATTCTGCTGAAGGCATTAATAATTTTGCAGGACAACAGTAAGTTCCTCCTGAAATTATCAATATTATTACACATCCCCAGAGAATTCATCCACCTAAACAGAATGGAAAAGAGAGCTGCTGGATTTGMTAACAATGTTTAAAACTACACAAAGAAACAGACAGCATTTTTGCTTGTATGGGCTTAAAAATAATATAATTATAATTATCTTTTAAATAAACTCAATGAACATTATTTTCCACTAATTAATTACAGTATCTTCTTCCCTCAAAATATATGTTCTCCATTTTTTCTCGGACTGTTGTCCACCAATAGGGAAAACAGTGATGCAAAGCCACCACTATCAAAAAGATGAATTCTACAAAACTAGCTATTGATGCAAGCTATACACATCTATTAAACAGTCCCGCAGGCGCAGTTAATTCTGAGCTAAGTCAGTAAGGAAAAGGAATTCCATTACTATTTAGAACCTCAACATTTAACAAGAAATAATGGTTGATAGAAAACACAGTCAAACCTGTTTTYATGCCAAACAGCCTAATTAAATTAATATTTAATATGAATTTAAATTGTACACATTAACTATATTCAATGCAGGATCCTTTTCTTTCTCCTCCGTTTTAAAATAGTCCACAATGCAAATGCAGTTTTAACGGTTGTGGGGTTTGCTCCCTCCTCCAGGGAAGCCAAAATGCAGAAGATATGATGCTGAAACAGTAATTTTTAACCTCTGTTTTAGCATAGCATAGCAGCATCACAGTCAATGCTGAAACAAATTCACTGCTTAGTGCTACAGTGCCTGAAGCATCCAATGGTCCACACCACCAAGTTAACTTCGTAYATTTATCTCCCAAATATGGTTGGCATTACCTGCCCAAATTTGCCCTCAGAGGAATACAGCCTGATGCACAGCTCTCTGAAGTGCTCTCATCTTCAACACTTCATTATTCTGCTTCTTCCACCTGTCTTAGGCTCAAAGGGCAGTCCTGATGTCCCTCAGACCACTGACCTTCTAGGGCATGACATTAAAAAAACATGATTCTATTTGAGGTGAAAGATCAATCTCAAAATAGCTGAAATTGGACAAAAAGGGAGCTGCTTGTACATGTGCATTAAAAATTTGGTCAGTGCTGCAAGCCAGTGTTTCCTTAGGTAAGCAGAGAACACCAGGCACGCTTCGGCAGCAGGCCGTCTCCAGCAAGAATAACCTCTTTCAAAAGCCATATCCCATGAAATTTCCATCCCCATCTAGAAAAGGAATTTCCATCTCCATCRGAGAATGGAATCACAAACAACTATTTTGAAGAGTCTCCACAATGTCAGTACATTGCAGAYAGAACTGCAATTCAGTCATATAATACAACTGGCAATTCTGGTGATCATAAATTTGCTAATCAAATGCCTTAAGGAGCTTTAAGGTAGGCAGRCTGTATCACCAGTTCATATTTTCATAGCAGTTGGTCCTACCTAGGCTTAGAAGGCCCAATTCACACAATACTCTTCCAGGAAACACACACGACTTTGGATTTTATAAGAAAACTAAGAATGTCCTGCAGTTGAGTAGATAGCTATCATTGATGATTTCAACACGACTGGAAATTCAGATATGGCTGCCTACRCCTCAATAACCATGCTTGGAAAAAAAGTATAGCATTCAGATCTGATGTTGGTGTATCAGAGGATTTTAAGGTGTGTTTTAGTCTGGTTYAGTCCTCACTGAATAGGAAAAAGAAAGGAATAAATAAAAAAAGAAGACAACCCAGTGAGTGTTTAAGAAGCTAACTGAACTAAAGAAAGCAAGATGTTAATGAACTTCTTTTGCAAAAAGTTGGTAAATCAATTATCTAAACAATTTTGCAGAGTCATTATTTAAAAAAAGAAAAGAACTGTGAAACTGTCAAACAAGCCCACAAGAACTTATATCTGAATTCTTCACTGCACATGCTGTAGCCTAGAGCTGTTTTTTTTTAAAGACACTATTTGGAAGAAAAGTAAAATGAGAATGACAAATCCATTACTTTAAACAGACTCCTTCCTTTCTTTMATGATTTGCTAAGAATCTTGATCACATCTTGTTCTCATGACCTCACTTAGGCTTACAAAAATAAAAAGCACAGAAGTTTTTTATATTTCATTGTAYAGACTTATCAGAACACAGTGATTCATCAATCAGATACTAGTGGGGAGAAATCTGAACTGTATCAAGAGGAAAGAGATGCAGAAATTATTATTACACAGAACTGCTGAGTGACACACAATGAAGTTCTTGACCATTTCTGACTGTGTTTCTTTGGGAGTAGGAAGAATAAATAGGAAAGATGACATAAGGCAGTCATAACAGAAAATTATGGAAGCACAAATAAGAGTTCTCACTCCATGAATAGAGCAGAAACAAACCAGTTTAGGCTGAACCAGTGAAGATGGGCCTCAACATCCCAATATTTTGGAGACTCATGTATATAGAAATAAGCTATCTATGTTAGTTTTATTTTCTGTTTAAAAGCCAATATAATTCTAGTAGCAATGCAGGATCACAGGAGTTGTGTCTGGCTCTGTTTTTTGATAAATTCAGCCACCCATCTCTTCAGATCATGGTAAAGTTTTCTGCCATTTTTCTTTGCTTTCTATGCAGAACAAAAATAGAACTTCCCACCACATTCTGATTCATTCATTCAATTTAATATACAGTGTGATCAAATTTGCCTACATTTCAAGAGTAGCAGCTGTCTCTTACTTGTAAAAACAGAACAAATACCAAAAAAAAGCCCACCCAAACTATTTGGCATCTATCAACCAAACATAACAAAAGCAGCAARTATTCAGCCAATAAAGTAACGAAAATAAAAATATTTACTGGGTTCTTTTTCCAACTTTTCTTTACAGTTGCTTACATCTCCAGTTACTGAAGATGCCATACATTTACTTTTTCCCTTTCAGAATTTATACAAAAAAAGTTWAAAAAGTTAATCTTCTTCTGCTCCTCATCTTAATATACAGCAAACTTTATTTCATCAAGAGCAACAAAAGATGAAGACATAGTACAAAAATTAATATGCAAAACAGTGGTACTAATGAAAGTACCAACTAGCATTAGAAWGACAAGTCAGTAGAATTAAACTATGATCTTTCCTTTAAAAAAAAAACAAAACAGAACAATGCTCCATGAAGACCACAAAATTGAGACAGAAGCATCTTCTCAAACAATCTTATTTCACACACAATCAAAAAAAT